AAGTAATATTAAACGTAGTAAGCTTAACACTACATATATTATATAGTAATATCATATTGTTTAATTTAACTTTTTTGTTCATAGTACGATTGGTTTAATATAAACCAAATTGTTTACAAAAATTATAAATTTATGATGTATAAATTATTTATGTGTTATAAAAAAAGTACAGGTACCTAAAAATGAATTTAATAAGAATATTTCTTTATGGTTAAAATATGATAAATAAAAAACAATGTCATATAATTGTCATACTCGTAGTTTTTTATTAACAGTTCAATTGCAATTATTGGTTTTGTTAAATGTTATCATTCCAAAAACATACTAACTAATACTTATTTAAATTTATAAAATGTGGATAAATGATTTTGGTACTAGCATAAGTTCACTGGACTTAATGCCTGATAGTATTGAATGGTTATTATACCTACATATTGTATTCAAAATAAATTGAATGGTAAGTCCCCAGATTCGAAAAATGGGTTAATACTCTTCTTTTTTTGTTCACTTCAACATAGACTGATGATATACTGGTGATATTGTGATTAAGGTATAGTTTAAAAGTAATGATTTATCATCATATTCGGAAAATGATTATGAGCTTCAAACTATTTCTGAGATATAAACAAAATTTGTTCATGGCTATTGCAAATGTTTCAAATCTTATGATTAGGGAAAAATGAAACATACAATATACAGATGATATATAGAATATACAGAATATATAGTGGTGTTTATGAAACTTTCAGTGCACAGAACTAATCTCCAAAAAACATATTGTACCTAAATGGCTAAAATATCATTATTATTTTCTGAATTACTACAAAATAGCATGTAGATTGTAGGTAATTTTAATAGTTTATCCATACACGCTATGGAATATTGAAAATTACCCATCAAAAACACTAACATTATGAAGTTTCCAATCCAAGCGTGTAAAAGTAAGCCGGGTCCCTGCAGGACAAGAAAACAAAACAAAAACTTAACTCTTTCAAGAGACAGACGGGACAATCTAATTGTTTTTAAAAAACAGAAACTAAACAAAAAATAGATTCTGTATGTACTCGGCTTTAGGTTATTGTACATCCGCATACTATATATGCATATTATATTATGCTATCTTCAACAATTATTATGACAACATTGCACCAATAACAATTTACATGTATAATGATATTATAAAATATGGTCTATGTTATTATATTCTTGGAAGAAAAAAATTATGTATACAAATAGTTACACAAGTTGATGTTTTTAAAATGATGTAGTTAGGGAAATATGATATTTACCATATTTACTTATAATAGTGATTTTAATTTATTTAACTAGCTTAAAATTATTTGGGGAAAACAAAAAGTAAAAAAAGGGAAAGTAAGTGTCGAGAGAACTCCGTCATTGAGAAACTCACTATAATGTATGTGTTAAATTTAAATTTGACGATAAATCAGTGCATGTACGTCAAAGTGTAGAACTATTATGAGCGAAGACAGACTGCCAACCCATAATGTTACTATAAGGATATTTTATAATATAAATGTATTGCTATTAAATAGGTAATTTATTTTACTAATAATAATCAAGTAGATTGGATTAAATATCCTAAAATATTGCATTTTAAGTAGTCATTGTGTATTTGTGTGTAAAAAATATAATTAATAATATATGTTAAAAGTTTCAAGAACTCACGAATAATAATTTTAAATTGCAACAAAATAACTAAACTCGTTATTCTTCATTTAAATATTTAATTTCAACCAATTTTAAACTTAACTTAAAATGTCTATAAAAAAACTGTGTTTTTATATTTTTTGGTACGAACTATTTATGATGAACCTTGAATTACATTTTCAAGCCTTAACTATAAAAATTAACATTTTAGATTCTGAGCTGATTGATAAATGTATTGATAGCGTACAATGATGAGTTTTTTTTTTATTAATTTTTGTGTGTGAAATAATGCTTCGATTTTCAACCTCAGTATCTTTTTTGGTGGGAAAATGAATATATTTGGAGAGGTTAGGAAAAATTGTAAGAACATCAAAAAAACATAAAATATTTATGAAAAACCGGAATTTGACCAGTCTTTGACAAAATCGATTAAAATTTTTTGCTTGACTCAAAATTAATAAAACTAATTTTTTATGAGCGTTTGAATTTCAAATGTTTTTGACACTGGATGTTTTCCATTAAACTAACTAATTATCATAAAACTATTTTCTTGTTTTTTTGTAATTATAAACAAACAACAGTAAACACTTGCAATGTTCACAGATAAATATATTAGTTTTTTCTATACATGGTATAATTAAAAAAAATTTTTTAGTTTTTTTTTATTAGTTACAATCGTCAAAAAATATTTCGCTGTGTCCAACAGCTTGAAAATCTTATCATAAGTAATATACTAGTGATTTAGAAATTTTAAAGATTCGTAGGCATGATTTTAAAAAGGCATTTAAAGTCCAAATGTTGACAAAATTCATCAAAATCAAAAAAATTTCCAAATTATTTTATAATTATATATACATTGTTAGATTTGAAAACTTAAAACAAAGTTTTTCTTACGTAGTTCATACTGTAACCAAAAAATCTAAAAGATACATTTCATTATTAATAGTAGAATAAAGTATTTTATTAGCAATAATATCATAAAATATACTTAGTAATAATTAGCCCAACAAACTTTTTTCGCTCAGAATAGTTTTCTCGTACAATGATATTAGCTATGTAATAAATTTAATTCAAATTTCACATAACTATTACACTGACCACTTGACCACTTATTTTTAAATTTTAAACTACAAAATGATTTGCAAATTTTTGTGATTATGACGAATTTTGTCAACATTTGAACTTCAAATGCTTATAAAAGTCAATCCTACTTATACATCTTTAATATATTTAAATAGTAATTACAACAATATCTGAGGTACCTTTTATTAAATTATTAAGCTTTTTGACCCAATGATAATTTTTTATTGATATTTGATGAAAAAAACTAAAAGAAATTTAAATGACAAAAGTCTACACTATAATATACCTACCTCAAAAAGAGTCACACACTATTTCGAATGAAACTAAACGATTCATATAAATGTAAAGTATCTAAAATTTCAAGTATGAACAGTTATTTGTTTTAAGGTCATAACCAAAAACTGGTTTTGCTTAAAAATTCCCATTTTTCTTAATTTTATGTTAGTATTTTCCGGTTATTTTGAAAACTACTAAACATTTTAACTTTTCATCCCTCTAAGTTCCAATAAAATCCAATTATTAACTCAAAATCCACAGTCAAAGTTGATAATTAAAGCTTATTTACTGCTCTAAAAGATGTCTATAAAATCAACTAATTCATCGCTGCACTCAAATTCTAAAATTGAAAACTTACAACAGTTAATTTTTAAAATATAAATGAATATCAATGTTATTCTATTACATTTTAAAATGTTGAATTTTAGTTTTTATTTATTTTTTTGACAATTTAATGATTTTTATGATAGGTAATATAGGTATTCATAATTTATAATATGTCTTGTCCTTTTCATTTAAATATTAAAGGTAACAGATTCAATTTAATAAGTAATGGGTCGTTTTGTACTTTTGCCATTACGTTATAACTTAAAAATACTTTCTTTATAGTCATTATAAGAATTTAATTTGAAATTCTTTATAGTGAGTAAAAAAAAGAATACATATAAGTACAAATTTAGAAAATATAATTAAAGAAATGAATTAATAACAGAAAAAAAGAGAAACAGAATGAATTAATAAAATATAAATCTTTTGGAAATAGAAAACATAAACGTTTGATAAATTATAAAAGTGTTAGTTAAGAAATGGAATAATTTAATCGATAATCTCAATATTAATTTGTATCGGGTCTGTCTATTATTGTTTATTATTCTTTTTTTGTTTTATTTTTTTCACAATCGAATGATTTAAAAAATGAATTATTTTTTATTTAATGTTCTGTCAACTCGGAAAAATGTACATGTAACAATCAAATACTATTTATTATATATTTTATAAAACCATTTGATTTGATTTGTTGAGTGTTATTGATCCGATATTAATATTTTATATTTTTTCGAGTATGTACAAAATATCTTATTTCGGAGAAAAATATAAATGTTCACTATTTTCTAATTAAAGTAGCTGTTGTAATAGCTATATTTATTATGATTTTACTAAGATAAACTAAATCACATGATAAACACACAAGGTAAACATCATAATATTATTGGAGTGCTGCATTGTAATTTGTATTAATTAAATATAACACCGAAGTCATGACGTGCTACAGATTTAACATTGACAGTTGACACCGTCGACACATGTATATAATAATGAAAGATGTGTAAAATAGACGTCTGGAGAGCGCGAACGAGTTAAATACAATCGATAGTGATTTCTCTACTCATTGCATGTTTACCTGAGGGCCGAGATTAAATGGTATTGTTTTCGAATTTCTCATCTTTACATTGTTCTTAAACGTAATTCGAGAAGTTTACGGGTCACCTATCTTGAGCGAATGAAATCATCTGATATATTTGTCAACGTAATCCAATTACAAGGGCCTATAGATATGAGTTATTTTGATCGGCGACGGGGATCTTATACCCATGTATATTTAACGCATACACCACCAGAGAAATGTACGATATTAAAAGAAGATGACCGAATGAAAAATAAATTAATCCCTTCCACTCAGTTTTTACGAAAATAATACCATCACTAATTCATCAGTGTCGAAAATTGTGTTATGACTTATGAGTTATATGATATTAGACCTTATATTATGATTATATGTTTGTTACAACGGCGAGTGGGCGTCGTGTCTATATTATAAAAAAAGAAATATCGTTTATTGTAAATAGGGTCAAAATCAATATAGGATCTCGTCGATACAGTGGTATCAGAGGTGGTCCTAGTGGCTTAAATTAAAAGTGGAAGACACAATTTCAGCAAATATAGAAGTTTGAATATGTGTAAAAATTACTTACCAAAGGTACTTGCTGAACTGGTGGCAGACCGGAACCGGACGGGGACGGTTGGTCGTCGTGCCTGCAGACAGTGGTCATGTCACTAGGTTCGCTTTGCATGGAAAGGTTGTCATCGCTTTCGGTGGGTGGTGGCGAAGGGGTACGGCTCTCAGCAGGTACCGGCGTCCGGCACCGGCTCAACGGCCGCAGGTCTTCAGGTTCCATGGGTTCGTCGTCCCGGTCGGCTGGCACCAGCTCGACGCGGTCTCCGACGGTGTCGTCGTCGCCATCACTGGGGCGAGCCATGTCGGCCAGCCCCTTGACCTTAAGGCTCTCGGCCGTCTTCAGCAGGGTGGTCAGCTGTCTGTGGTCTACGTTCACCTCGCCCCGGTACATAAACTCGACCAGGTCACGGAGTTCGGAGAACTGAACGTCTTTGAGCACCACGATCGGGTGGCGGGTCGGATGGTCAAGGAACAGTGCCTTGAAGTACGCGCTACACGCGGATAACACGACCTTGTGGGCGCGGATCAGGCGGCCTTCTTCCGAACAGGCGAGCGTCACGTCCACGAGGGACTCTTCTTGGAGCAGTTGACTGAATACGCCCAGCAGGTTGTTCTGATGATTGTTCCACCGGAGACAGTAGTGCTCGCTTCCCATGTCTGAGACAGCCTATAACGAACAAAACACCCGTTTAGTATACGATATATATATAGGTAGTATATATATTATATATGGGTGCTATATTATATTAATAATATATACGATACGCCCCACACGCACACGCTCGTATATACTTTTCTGGATTTCCCTCGGGAAACCACGTCACCTTGGACGACCCACGAGGATTTTGGTTCGAAAATAACATCGAATCGAACCATATATACACTTAACATATCATGTAAGCGGATTTTCAACAAGGCACATACATAATATTTGTGGGGTCGCATAATAAAAATAAATATATAATATATTTTGGCAAAATATATTATTTGACTTTAAATACGAAGAGTCAACTGACTTGTTTGAGGATTTTATATGTGGTTACGAATTTTCAAAGACAATATATTATAATATAAGAACTAAATTCATACGAGGTAATCATTTTGAATTACTTAAGTGCCCCAGGCTGCGAGCATTATTATTTAAATGTTACTGTTATTCATTTATTTATTTCATATTTCTCTTCACTGCCTGTATCGCAGTTAAAAAGTCTTATCTTCATTTACTTTATAAATCTGGTGTACACTGTAAACTCAAACAACATACAGCCACCTTGTTGTGTATATAAGTTATAACTTATAAGTGTTTTAACATTACAATATCACTGGCACTGCAGCTGTTCAACTCTCCAATATAATATGCGGGTACATGCAATTTGTATAAACAACGTTTTTTTGGATTAAATAATTTCTCACTGATATAGTCATACACCTTATGAATTTAAAAACCTTAATACTCATATTATGAAAAAATAATTGATGATGCTTTCTAAAACTCATCGTCAACATTAAAAGTATAAAGTTGATTATATGTTATCACTGCTATTGATTATTATTTACTCAATTTGTTATAATCATCTATTCGAAAAAGAATAAAAATTAACTAAAATAATTCTTTGTTACCGACTAATACTATTATATGTAGGTTTACAGCATACACCCACTACCTACATTAAAAACCAGATTTGTAGTTTATGTTTATCATACTGTAATATTATGTAGAGATACATAGAATCTATATTGTAGAAAAATAAATAAGTTAACGGATTAAAAAATGTTTAATACAGTATTCAACAATCAATTGGTAATTTGATCGTTACTACTATATGAAGATAATTACGAATCGATCATCGTAAAAACCACACACTAATAAGTACTTTATCACTGAACTCGACCTATAGTCATTATTAAACAGTTACTATTACGACATAGTGAAATATTTATTTACTTTAATCTCATTAATAAAATACTATTTATAGATAATTTATGAAGTTAAAAATATAGATACAGACTATATACAGAATGCTTCAGATAAAATTGAATTCATTTAGAACTAAACTAAATATTAATAGGTATTTTATTTTAGGTTATACGAAATGAAGCCATTTGTACAATACACGTAATACAGGTGCATAATATGGTTCACAAAAAAAAAAAAATATGAAATTTTAACATTTATTAATGTATACTTCATGTATTCATTACATTCAAGAAATAAAAAAGTGTAATACAAAAAACCAATAAAAAGTAATTATGAAAATAATGGAAATATTTGTGTTATTTAAAATTAACCATTCAATACAATAATAAATAAGTGATAATTCGTTTTTATATATAAATAATAATAATATTGGGGGATGAGGTGACCGAGTGGTCTGACGCGTCCGCTGCGACGCAGCCGGTCGCTGTTCGATCCTCGGCTACCGGGCGGCATTTTTCTCCGGACAAGTCTTGGTGACCGGAGAACAAGTGCTGCCATCCCCCACCCCCGGGGCATGGCAGAAACCTAAGGGTGCCCCATTCGAAATTCTGCCAAAAACAAACACACACGTGTTCCCCCCTACCGTCCCAAAATATACAATACAAACAAACCTACAATACAAATCCTACTACAGCTAATGGCCTCAGTTGCCGAAGCTTAAGATCAATAAAAAAAAAAAATAAATAATAATATTTTGTACGTAAATAAAAAATTGGAACAATATATATTGTAAGGTAGATATTGACAATTTCTATAATTATAAGTGTCTAATATAACGACTTTAGTAGAATGTGATATTCATAAGTTTGAATCATACGTATTATAGTCTTTCCCAAGTTCACGCTATCATTAGACAAGATTTAATTTTCAGCCACTTTAATGTTAATTAATGTTTATGTAGGTAATATTGTTTTTCCTGTAAATATTGTTTTAGGTTTAAGTCTATTATTCCGTAATAAAAAAAAAAAAATAATATCATCTAGGTACATCATAAATTATTATAAACTAACAATTTAAATATAGTTGTGTTATTCAAATAAATTATTATACAATTATGTGTAAGATGGAACTTTATATAGTCAGATAAAAATTAGCCAATTCTATTGATTTTTGTGATCTTCATCAAAATCTCTATGATTAATCAAAATGAATAATGATGAGGGGTGCAACCAAGAAAAAATTCTCTAATTATATTATAAAATATTATGTTATAACTGATTTTTAATTTGTTTACATAATACGTGATGAGTGATAACATTTTTATTCATTATAAATTATAATTTTTTAAGTGTATGATTTTAGTGTGATTTATTTCAATGTTATAAATTATACGTATTAGAAAAATATCTTTTATATTGGACTAAATAGAAGACAGTAGGGCATACACTCCATAAATCAGTGAAAATACGGATCGGTTGGTTAATGAGAGTTTATTCCCTTCAACAAGTATTGATGTTCAATTTTCGATAAAATGTTTGCAGTAAATTAATAAATAATATCAACTAAAATATATTTTCATTATTATTGATCACCTGGCCATCGTCTTATTTTAGGCACAGAATATTTGGTACAGTAACTACTGTTAAAAGTTTATTTATAAATGTCTTTCCCCCCTTAAATTTAATGTAAACCTCTCCCCCGCTCGTCCTATGAAATACTTGTATGTACCTACCTACGCATTATTACGAAGACCAGATTTATCCATTATTGATTATTAAGTTTAAGTATAAACAGAAATAGTCTGTGATATTTTGTAGGTACATAAAATATGTTATCAAAAGAAATTAAGTATTTTATTTCTGTATACGTTTTATATAAAGCACACTGAATGAAAAAAAATATAGTACCTAGTATAACAATCCTGCAGTTGATACACTGAGTCCTTTAAACAGAGTGTCACCTGTATTAAATCACATCAAGATTCTAGTGTACCTATATTTACATACATGTAGGGGTTAGGTGTTCACTATTTTAGCGTTAACCCAGTCATTACACGATTTTTTTAGATTTTTCATAAAATATATTTAAATATTAATAATTAAAAATCAGATTTACAAATAAATATTCTAATCATCTACGTTGTATACGAACATATCTTATACAGCTATAATAAAGGTATAACTGTATAAGACATGTGAAGAATGAACAAATTTTGAAATGTATAACCAATAAATTGTTAATATGGTTGGTTTTAACTTTAAACTTTAAAATGTTTGATTTTAATTTAATTAATTTCATATATTCAAAATATTTCAACAATAATTTTTAATATTTAATCACTTTGATCGTTACAGAATAACTTAATTACCTACCTTAAGCTTTGTTTTTCCAATATTTTATTTATTATATTCAAATACAAAATATAAATATGTATTTTAACAATATGAGCTACAATACATACTTTTTTTAATGTTACGTTTTTATAATGAAAGTATTTTCGACTACACTTTACGGTATTATTTTGTACATTTTTATAAATTATGTACGAAAAATGTTTTTAAAAATTTAGCTGTAATAAATTATTTATTTATAACAAACAAAATTTAATATAGCACAATTAGAAATTTATAAGCTAAAACTTTTTTTTCTTGTTTTAAAAATATAATGTACTGTGCTAATATAATTTAATTTGTATTTTATCTTTCCGAATTCGACATCCTCTATACATATTACAATTTTTTTTAATTGGACAACAAAGTAAAGATATTTTAATTTTTGAAATTAATTTATAAATAAAAAATATATAACATTTTTTCATTAATTTTTACATTATCCTTACTATTGGGGTATGAGCAACGGTTCTGAATTTATGCGTCGTGACTCGTGACCCACAAGTGGCTCCAGTATAACCTCATTATTTTATTTCATTTTTAATTTCATAACATATACTACAATTTATAATATAGTTACAATATTATGTTACCTAAAGTTTAAATTATAATATTATTTTTTGTCAATATATATTTTTTTTAAAGCATATTAGGTAATTTGTATGGGTCGTACAAATTGAATCAACTAAATATTGTGGTCATGTTATAAAGTTTGGGAATCACTAAGGCTCAGAGTGATCTACAGGTAAGTATTCGCGAGTCCTTTCTATTCAAAACCAATCAGATGACTTCTAATTATTTTGTAACCTTGACTCTCCATGGTTTGACAGTATTATAATATATAGGTTTAAAGCACTTAAATTTTGTTTTAAAAATGTGAACCTGGAAAATCCGAGCCCAAAAAAGCAGTTTGGCACAAATTTTAGATTTGATGCACACGAATGAGCTATTATACTTTATTGCAGTATGGGCTTTCTTGGAAAACATTTTTTTGTAAGAACACAAACTAGTACAAACTAGTTCTCATTTAGAATCTCCACATAGATTAGACATTTATAGACGACACAAATAGTTTTATAAATTTGCCAATTCTATATTTGAGAAATGGAGAAAACCCTCAAACGTGGAAAGAAAGCACTCATTTTTATTGAAATATCGACTATATTTTCAAAATAAACTTCGTTCAGTACGAAATAAATTAAATGTGATGGTATAAAACATTCAGACGATTAAAGTATCTTCGAGGATGATATATGTATCGCATTATAATATTTTTAAAACTATTTTTACCATTTATTCATCATCTATAATATAAACATTATTATTGAGTAATGAATTCTATACATTTTCGTAAACTGGCGTTATGTGTATGCAATTTAAAGACGCGCATGTCCATAACAAATAAAAATATATACCTATATATTTTATGCATATATTTTATTGTTTATTTATTCAATAATTGAAATATTGAATTATTATTATTATTATATTAATGATTGAAAGATGAACAATCTCAAATACAAATTAAATACGAAAAAATATTTGATTTAAATATGTTCTGGTAACGTATATACCTATGTATGAAACATTTTTTTTTAGATAACATACATTTTATTTTAGTGATAAGAAGATGAAAGTTTGAAAGCGTCTGATAAAAGATTACAACATGTAAATATCTATATTTGCCTTAAATGAGCACCATATAGCATAACTGGCGGTATATAATATACATATATTTATACGTACATTGGCTGAATAGCGATTCTGCTATCGAGTATCGACATTGTACGCCAATATATACATATAGATAATATATATTATTATATTATATGAATGTGCGTCATCCACGGATCAAAGTGAATAGAAATAAACTACAAATATTAAATAAGATTTTAAAAAATCACTTAATTATACGCACTGTGTGTTAGTAGTTATCGTCCTTCGCGAAATTCCTTTTCGTAACACCATTAGTACCGGCTAATAAAATATCACGGAAGTTTGGTTGTAAAGGTAATATAACACGATTTCGTTTGCACTTTGGCTAATTCGACACACCGAGCATGCACACACCAAAATAAATAATAATAATAATAAAAAAGCTTATCCGCAACGCCTTTTGCGAAATGCACGTTCGAAAGACAATAACAACAACAACAACAAATTATTATATAAAATATAAAACAAAACTTTAATAAAAAAAAAATAGTAAAAATGTTTTTGTATTTTGAATTTCTTATATTTTTCTTTTGTTTTTTCTTTAATATACCTTAGCTATATGAATTCATTTTGGCGCCTGGAGTGTGCGTGTAACACGGCGGCACTCGATAGAGAGGACACACGGAACGATAAAAATTTTTTTATTATTATTATAATTATTTTTTTTTTCACAAACCGGTATAACACGTCGCCTTCGTATGACGAGCGCACTAATCGCGTCGTTCGCGAATATTTCTGTTCGCGCGCGTATGTCGTGCGTGTGTGTGTACATATATTTGTGTGCATGTGTGTTATGAGTGTGTGTGTGTGTTGTGTTTAAGTGTATGTATATGTGTGTAAGTTTGGTATGTGTGTGTGTATTTTTGTGTGTATGTGTGTGTGAGTGTGTGTGTGTGTGTGTGTGTGCGTTATCACGCGCTTTCGATGGGAGTTCAACCGGCCTCCGATGACTTTGCCGGTCGACTGATCGAGTGACTGTGAGCGCTGGCGTACACCGCACTGGTGCCGTAGCGCGCGGCGCCAAAAAACGAAACGACCGGGCGGAATAGGACGCGCGCGCAAAAACGTCGCGCCGGCGGTGCGCCCGAACTGACAACGCCGCTTAGACGCCGGCTCCCGCGGCCCCCCCCTCACGTCACCAGCGTAGGCCGGTCGACGCGGGTCCTGGGTCTGAGTTGGAGAGGAGTGGTGGGGGTGGGCACCCGCGAATATTGCGACCGGCGGCGTTGGCGGTGGAGTACCCCGATTGGCGTGCACGTGTGTGCGAGGGGTACGCGGGGTTTCGAGTGGGTGAGAGGGGGCACTAGACGAACCTTCGACGCGGCGGCGAGGACGCTGCCCCGGCTTCCGCACCCACTTTCCCGACCTACCCATCCCGTGACGCGAAGCCGCCGCCGTACGTTCACCTCCCACCGCGACCATATAGCCGCCACAGCTCCATCACCACCTCACCTCATCGTCGTTGGACGTCCCACCGCCGCCACCGCCACCACCGCCGAAAACCGGTCGCCTTGGAAATTCGCGTATTTCGCGATTTTTTTTATACGCGCGTGCAGGTGATATTCGGCCGATCGCCTCACGTTGCGTAACGCGTCATCAAACGTTCGCGAATTTGTTTCGAGCGCGCACACACATATATAAATAAATGTGAATATATTATTATTTCTATTATAAATGCCTCGTGTTTATTTAACATAATGTATTATATGTATTTTATCGTCAACGGATAGGTTACGATCGTTCCCATTGGCCGTCCGATCGAATTGCCGTTTGCGGATTATACACATTATATTATAATGATATTCATACGCACACGTACATCCGTGTTTAGGACCGTCACCGCCAATTCCTTTCACGACGATAATTTTTATTTACAATTTTTTTTTTTTGAGACTTCGGTCCGACGCCTGACGGGCCTCAAACACGTTTATGACGTTTTGTATGAAAGTCCACGTAGGTACATCGTTTTCTGATGAAATTAATTTTTCGATATATTTAATTTACTTATAATAATATGGAGTTAACTATATAGGTACTATATTATATAACTGCAACTGCACTGACTAAACACATCTGTAACCGAGATTTTTTCATCTTGAGATGTTTTATTTTATATTTTTATTTAGGTGGACGTAAACGATTCGATTGCGTTTTGGTGAACTTTTTGAAATCGCCATGCTTATAAGTTATAAACATAGTAAAATAAGGTTACCAACACTCAGAAAATGCAAATCGTTTAAGGCCACTGAACTGCCTTGAATCATGAAATTAATTTCAGCAAAACATGTCTGTACCGGAAAAAGTTTAATACTTTAAGAACAGAAGTATTTCTAAAAGCTCTTTAGGTAATATTTATTATAAGAAGGTATATATTATTATATTATACAGTTTTCATGTAATTATATAGTTATCTAGATTATTTATTAGATAATTGGTATATTTGGTGTCGTTCGAATATTTAGATAATACTAGTGTGATTTTTATTTCAGGCATTTTATTAACGATTTACTTTTATTAATTATTAACGATGCGCTAAATTTTTTTTCAATTTATTGAAACTTATTTCTGTATTTCCTGTTGTTTTCCCAAATTTAGCTACAGAGAAATATATTTCGGTTTTATTTTACTTTACTAGTACTATTATTATTATTGAACAAACGAGGTCTTTAATTCTAATTGGTCAAAAATAGTAGGTAGCTCACATATATACTCTATATCGTGTTTGTAATGACTGCTTATAAATTGCATATAATGTATTCAAGATATACGTGCAATACGTTCTAAAATAATTTTAAGATTTTTAAACTGAAATTTTGCACCTTCGAGGTCATATTATTAAAAAAATTGTATTATTTGTATGAAAGAAAATAATATTAAATATATACGTTTGTATATGGATGTATAGTGTATACTGCATATACAGTATAAAATCTCCCAATAATTTTTTTATTCATTTGATTTAATACATATCAATATTATAGTAGGTATATACTTACATTGCATTTTCTAAAATACGGAGTAGTGAGTACCTACACATTTTTATTGATACTTTTAAATGAATTATATAACAGCAATAATAAGTACCTATCTAAATAAAATATCGGTTTAAATGTACACATTATACATCATATAGTTAAAAATGTAATTATATTACTTTGAATAATTATTTATAAGTTATAAGTATAGGTATACAAACTGTAGGTAATATAAGTAATATAAAAGATAAAAGTACATAAATATAACCACTACCTATTTGTTATTGTTATTATTATTTTTACTATTTATTGAACATAGCTAGTATTCCCATCAAATATGAGAGTGCGAGCTACTTTAATATTTATATTTAAACATTGTAGGACAAAGTAGATTTTATATTAATTTGAACAATAAAATATTAAAATGTATACCAAGGTGCAACTGTCTAGACGTCTAGAGAGTTTTTGCGGTGAGTACGAATAGTGTTAAGCATAATAAAATCCTAATAATTATCAATAGAATATATATTCTATTGACTATCCAGTCATAAAGAATAATATTTAGTCAGTTAATATTTGAGTTGGTGGTGTATAATGTATATCATATATGCATTTATATGAGGATCAATAAAGCCTAAATTATGAGTATTACATGTATGTTTATATACACTGTAGTGAGATATAAACCATATTCCGATTTGATTTTGAACGTTGGTGGACATTGCAAGTGACAAATGTGTATTGCTATAAGTAATGCAATATAACATATATATTCAACCAATCACGTAAAAATACTCTATAATCATGTTATACAGTGAGTAAATAAGGTAGTATACCGTGTTTTAATACTTATAGCATATTTTCTCGATCGGTTATTTGGTAAGTACATTTATAAAATGATGTTGTAAGCACTAACCTACATAGCCAATACTGCAGGTACCATAAAAATCGTTCATATAAGTGTAATAATACTAACAAGTGTAAACTAGTAAAATAGTTATAATATATACATGATACTTAGATTAAAAGTGAAAAAATAACATTTTATAAATAACGTCATGAGTATCTATCCAAATAAAATATACTAATACTGCAGTAATACACTTGACCGAGACTGTGTTTTTACTTTTAAGAGCTATTGTTTACATAACTTTTCTCATCACCACAATACCACCACAATCCTGTAGTATTATATAAAAATCATAACAAATCATCAATACTTTTAAACTTTAAAATAATTCATTATAGATTAATCAAGTAATGACTATAATTATTACAATAGGAATATACAGGTACAACCAGATCTTTTCACATTACCTTTTGGAAAAGGATAAATTTATAAGAATCCTACAGCGCCATTATACATTTATTGAAGCAACGCAATACGGATTTTACACAACAGTAAACACACATACATTTTTTATTTCATTTCAAATTTCAATTATTTAGAAAAATCTATATTTTTAAAGTTAAAACTACTATAATGATTACAATTTTAATTTAAAACATTCATTATCAATAATGAAATTATCATTTGCAGTTTGAATGGGTGGATAATATGCGTATTGTAGTAGGGAGTCAAATTTAGTATTCCGATAGCTTAATTGATCTGATGAGTCGAATGGTCCCGGATAGAATTGATCTTACATAATATTATAAAGAAACATATCATAAAATAAAATAAACCAAAATAAACCAAAATATATTCCCGATTCATTTAGAATATAAAACAGTTTATGCAAATACAGCTCTCGACCTCTAAAAATGTAACAATATTATGTTTCTCAGAATCCTATATATACCTACACCTGTTGTTATTATTGCAAGTGGCCAGGTCAACATGATGTGAAGTACGAAACTAATCAGTAGGTCAGCGCAGTATATTAAGTTGCACTTGTCGTGAAGTCACAATTAATGAGAGTGTAATTTTATCTTAATTAGAAATTCATAAAAATGTTCCTTTTTGTACTAAGATTTGAAAATTTAATACAAGATTCCTAGAAAGTTTTTCTGAAACAAAAAAAAATTTACCTGAAAGTCAAATTATAATTTTTTATGAACGTTTGAAATTTGAATTTTTTCAACATGGGATATTTAACCTTTTAAACCAACGGTTTATCTATTTTGTTGTAATTTAAATACGAATAATCGTAGATACTTAACTTTTAACAAAATTTATAAAAATCTAGGAAATATGCAAATCATTTTACAGTAAAAAATATATAATGTGTGTAATACATTTTTAAATTTAGAATTGAAAATTGAAAATGAGGTTTTCTTATAAGTATTTCATACTATGTTCAAAAAATCTAAATGATTTATTGTATTATTAATAGTGAAATAAATTAGTTTAATACTAATAATATCATAAGATATAAGTACATAGTAATATAGGCTAATGGACCGTGCACTTACAGAATCGTTTTTTGTTTTAATATATTCGTTAATAATTGTATATCATTGAATTCAAATTTAACACTTTCATTACAGTGATCCACAACCCATCACGCAACATTTAATGTACGGCAGAACGGTACCCACTTGCTCACTTTTTAAGCTATCAAGTTATACCATTATAGTGCAGTTAGAAATTTGATACCAACATATCAATCGAGGCATTGTGTGAGATTTTTATACTCTAATTCTTATAAAATTATCCAGTATATAGATGTATACAACTACAAAGATACAAAAATAAGCGTTATTGTAATAATTATTGTCACTGGGACTGGAGTTAAAATATAATAAATAATAATGTACAGTGCGAAATGTCGAAATGTCCACCGACGCGTCGTTGTTGGTGTATAATAATATGTATTTTGTATATACACAATAGGTATATTATGCTCGAACGTGTAAAAATAACGCATCGAAACGATATGTTGTACAAACACGAACGCTGGGGGAAATAATGATATTTGGACGGAAACAAGAGTGGCGCGACAATAATATTAATATTATGTATGTACATAGGGGACACGGACATGTCCGTCCGGAGCTGACGGATGAAGCACGTCGCGGTGGTCGTATTATTAAAAAAATAATAACAATAATAACGATAATGGGGCCTCAAACGAATTGGAGGGCGGACGACAGCGATGATGGTCATCCACGTCCGTCGTTATGACAAAAATAACTACATTAAATCGTTATATTTTATTCTCAAAATCTCAGTGTATTGTGACTATAATATTATGTACCTATATAATACCATATTATGCATCCATATACCTATCAAACCGTATATAGGTGTAACTGTGGAGTGTGTAAGACATGTTTAACCGACTTGGAAGTGTTATGTAGGTAAACAGTCGTTTATTGCGTTTGGGCCGTTTTGTATCAATAACCTGGCATTGTAACTGAAACTGATTGACACATGGATAATATTATTATGCTTAGTGAGGGGAAATAAAATGGAAACGCGACGAATTTCGATCGAATCGTAAAATATTACATATTATTTAAATGATAATGAGTGACCGTTACACGTATATAGTTACGGTATACTTATATAAAGTATACAATATTAAGGTCACTTAAGTCCATAGGCAGATTAGTATAGGGGAGATCGTGGGTTTTTGAGGTTTGCGGGGGATGTTAATTAAAAACAACGACCACAGATCGAATGATATAGGTATTTTGCCGAAATCATTTGCGAATAAAGGCGTCTAGTCGTCCAACAGTCCCGAGCGTGCGTTTTAAAATTAAAAAAAAAAAGATTATCTCCATAACAATATTATATTACATCGGCCTAATGTTATTATATTATGAGGGTCCATAGCGTCAGAAAGGGCAATATTATATTCAGTGTTTGGGAAGAACATATTTCACACGTTTACGTTCATATATTATTTTAGTAAACGACCTGTCAGTCGTATTTTTCAAATTGAACGTGAAAGTGAGCGACGTTTATATTTTAATGAATTTGAACGATTTTTAAGAGGCTCAATTTATTTACCATCTAATAAATATATGCTTAAAATATATTAATTAATTTTATTAGGTATATTATCTTTAAAAAATATTATTTTATTTTAATTTCTATGTAAAAAAATTAAAAAATTAAATGAACGACCCATTGAAAGCATTCATTTTTTCAATGAGCATGAACGTGAACGTGAAAAAAAACACGAACGTGAACGTGGACGAATTCGTTTTTTTAAGGACTGAACGACGTGAACGTTCACGTTCCGAACACTGATTATATTTTACTAATTGGTATAAGAAGACGTAACAAAACAGAAGAAAAACCGACGCGCGTCCCAGTGTGCCGTCGCATCGCGGGCGGGCGACTCACGTCGCGCAACTGGTTTGCCAGCCGCCGCCGACGTACCACGCACGCGTGATCGTTCGCACACGCGCGAGTACACGCACTCGCGAAACGGCGACGGTGACGTCGACACCACGACCTAGGTATAAATGTATAATGCGGTGTTGTAGTCGTACACTGGTTGTACGTACACATACAACACTGAACACGCGCGTTTAGCTGCGGCGATCACGAGCCGCCCGCCCCGCGCAACAATTATTGTATTACATTTTACCGCGGGCGCGTCCGCAAAACATAGTAATATTATATTATATCATTATTCATTATATATATTATTATACAGCGTGGTCGCTCACACACACACACACACACACACACACACACACACACACACACACACACACACATATATATACAAACTCACGCACACACAGCCACTCACGCATATAGGTTTCTGTGTGAGTGTGTGTGTTTCAGTGTTTATAGTTTATACACACAATATTACAAGACGGTTTTGTGTAATGATTAAAAAACCGTGTACGGTGGGGGCGATAACCACGAAATCTCGAGTCT